AACTAATGCAACCTCAGGAAGAAGAGCTTTAAAAAAATGTGACACTTGCTGCAGCAGGGAAGCCTTCCCTTGCCTCTAATCACTGTCAGAGCCTATCTTCCCCAACCTTCTGTTTGTGCTGGATCACCCTTCCTGCCCGCCGGAGGCTCCGGGCAATGCGCCAGCTCCCACAGAAACAACCGAGACCTCCCTTCACCCCAGGGCAAGAAAGGGATGAGCCAGGCCAGACTCAGCCTGGCTGGAAGTGTTCCTCCTGTGGGAGACACGTACAGCAACTCAGATGAAAAAAAAACCCCATGGATTACTGGATGTTGCAGCAATCCCATGGCAAGGAGGGGACGGGGTTGGGCTGCCCTGCAGAGTTCAGCTTTCTTCCGTAACAGAGGAATTTGCAGCGTAATTAAAATGAAATGCTGGTGTCTGTGCTGCACGTTGAAATATTGATGGAGGGAGGCATAAAGCATTTTATGAATGCAGGCTCCCGTTTTGTGATTTACTGCCCCCAAACACCACTTTCACAGAACCTACTCGGGAAGGAACGGGCAGAGATGAAAGAGCAATAGTGGTTTTATGGCTGCAGAAAAAGGGAATGGAATTGGGCAAAGTTAAATACTGTGTATTGAGATAGTCTTTCACTCTGAACTTTAGATACAGCAGGAGCTCACTCACACCTGGAAAGGGTTCTCTGAAGTTCATGGAGGTTTTTTCCCTTTCCTTGTGCCATACCAGTGCTGGGAAGGGGCTACGCTGCTTCTAACTGCAGTTAAAAAGAGGTCAAGGCCCTATTTATAATGAGGCTTGAAGTAAAGTACTCAGAGCTGTGTGGGGAGACACAGAAGTAGGACTCTGCATCACCTTGACCTGCCACTGTGTCTTTATTACTCAACCCCACCAAGTACAGTTCAGCCAAATGGAAGTCTGACCCTATCCTTATTTCAGAAAAAGGGAAAAGGAAATATTCAGGGACTATTTAATTAATGATCTAATTACAGCATAGGCTAAGACAGAGGCCTTTGCTGCAGTGACTCTACAGCTAACTCTGCCTGAAGCTTATTGCCACAGGAACTAGTAGCAAATTTGCCTCCAGGATGAGAAAAATCCCAAATTTGAGTCAAAGACGAGACCTCAGCATCCATCAAACCTCAGGCAAGGGGAATGCAGAGCAGCAGGGTACTGACACAGCAACCAGCTCCAAAGAGGATGACGGAAATCTTGCTGGGATCTAGGAGGATGGTTTAAAACATGTAGTTCCACTTCACTCAGTCACTCCTGCCTTTGGTTTTGCTCTGCCAAATCAATGAATGAACTGCAGTGAGCTGGCAGGAGCCAAAGAAAACATTATTAGCCCAGGTGAGGGTCAGGTGGGTTGTCAACCCATGGCCCAGCAACCCACACTGCCCACCTACAGCTCTCTCCTGCCATTCCCCAATCTTGCTTTTTCCTTTTATTCCCTCTTGTTCCTCTCCTCCTTATAACCAGGTTAAAGCAAGAGAAAGCAGTGCTGACCCCATATTTGGGCTGGGAAAGGGCTGTTCCAAGGTGAGGCTGTGTCTGCACCTCGTGAGCTCTGAAATCTCCCTTGCAAACTCACAAGCAACTCCCTCCTTCCTTTCCATTTAATCCCTCAAACAGATGGGGCTCCAAATTTGCCAGCTGTTTCCCAGAGGGTGGCAGAAATGCCAGCCTGGCACTCCCCAGCCATTCAACCTGCCCAATTCCAAATTTCCAAGCTCCTTGCTCCCAGACCCAGCCACTGTCAGGTCCAGCTGAGGTCGTGGACAGACCCTCATGGAGCTGTTTTCAACCTGAAATCATCCCTTAAGACTCATTCAAACCATTTCTCTCAACCACAGGAGGCGAGATTAGGTTCCCAAATGCTTCACTGGGCTCAGCCCAGCTCCCACAGCTGGAATATTCTCTTGCCACTTCACTTGCAGATAGAATCTTGTTTCACTTCTTTTAATTCCCACTCCTTCCAAAAATGAAGTTCATTAGACTTCAGCTTTAAATTTCCTAACTACCCTTCTTCCAAGTTTCATTTCCTCTGCTAAGCTTAAGAACATGGCTTTCTGAGCCAACCTGAAAACATTAAATTTTTACTGTATCTTTCAATTCAAGCATTTACAGGTACAGTTTTGAACCCCCAGTGCAAAGCACGTGTTGTTTCACAAGCTGAGGCAGAAGAGTTATAAAACAGAAGCGAACCCAACCAGGCTGAACATTCAAAGCTTGCTGGTTGGAAGAGCCCTTACTACCTACTCATGTTGTGAAAATACATTTAATTTTAAGGTTTGAGTCTGTTTTGACATAGAGATGGGATTCATACAACAGAACAACTTTCTTGTAAGATGAATTTTTACATCCCATGTTCCCTTGACAAGTAATTCACTCACAGTCATGTGACAAAACACTTTCTGAAGCCCCTCAATTTACTGTTTCCTCAGCAAAAAAAAAAATATGTGCGAGAGGCTTGTAGAAAATTAAATATATGCACGTATTGAGAACAACAGTAAGTGATAGATACCACTCAGTGAAGTTTGATGTGACCAGGAACTGGTGGGGGACATGTGATTTAAAGGTTGCATTAAATATCTGAAGCTTTAACTAATCACTGTACAAATAACTTACAGTGGTGGCTTCAGGCAAATGACTGATTTTCGGCTTCTCGTCAGACACACACATGTATCAAGGGAGGTGGATCTAAGATCTACAGGAGGAGGGGAAAAACAAATTCAGGAACACTATTGGAAAACAAGAGAGCGAATCACAAAAGCCAAAAAAAAAAAAAAGAAAGCTGCAAAAATAAGACCTGTTGTTAATCTCCAACCCCCACAGTGCCCTGGGGAGCGAGGCCCCAGCAGGCCTGAGACACTCCATGAAATTATCTGCCCCACAACCCCTCCCTAGGCCATCCACGGGTGTGGTAAGGACGCCCCAGAAGGCCAAAGGAGCCCGGAGATTCCCTGTGCTCCCTGCCCTCCAGGCTGGCATGGTCTGTGATGGTCAGAGGGTCTCTGTGCCCCACACACACACCTGGACAGGGTACACAGCCCCTGGAGGGAGCAGCAAAGCTGCTCAGCCAGCTCAGTCCTTCAGATCTGGGCCTCGATTCTCTTTCTTTTCTCCCACACCAACAGGAAAGGACATGTTACACAGAATTTCAGAACCATGCAGGTTGGAAAAGACCACCAAGATCACCATTCCAACCTGTGCCCGGTGCCCACCTTGTCCCCCAGCCCAGAGCACTGACTGCCACGTCCAGTTGTTCCTTGGACACCTCCAGGGATGGGGACTCCACCAACTCCCTGGGCAGCCCCTTCCAACGCCTGACCACCCTTTCCATGAAGAAAGAAAGGAGAAAGAGGAGTTGTTAAATAGGAGCCAAATCCACCACAACGCTGACGGACCACATCGTAGAGTCCAAGAGCGGGGGACAAACCTCAGCACCTCAGGAGGCCTCACTGAGTCCTTTCAGTCCTTTAAATCACATTAATCTGACAAAAGGAGGTGTTGCTTCAGAGCAGATTCACCTGGCAGGAAGGAAATGACACAACTTCCCAACATGACCAAATGTTTCAGGAAATAACCTCAGGGATGAGCGAGGACAGCAATACCATCTCGTTTTGGGGAGCAAGGGTGAGCACACAGAGGTGGCTTCCCAGGAAAACACCAGATGTTTGGCTGGGTCAGGAAACACTTCCAAGAAGTGTAACTCTTCCTTCCTGGTTTCAGAATCGTGCATACAGGTTGGGCCAATTTTGGGTTACCTGTGAGCAGATGTGGCTCCACCACTGGCAAAGTTAATTTTTAGTATGGAGGAAGGTAATTCAGGCATCAGTAAATATTGATCTTCACTTTCTCTCCTTCATGACCCAAGAGGCATTCTCAGATTACTTACAAGATGTGGATAATCTCATGTTATTTATTACCTTTAAAGAGCATCCTGTCTCCTTTTTCCCTAAGGGTAGTCACTTTGGATAAGGAGAGGAGCTGAAAGTACTGCTTATTTTCTACTTTAACCAACATACAAGGGGCAGGGAGGGAAAGAAAGAAAGAAAGAAAAATATCAAGGTCAGTTTTCACTGGGATGAGGAAGGAAATCGCCCTTTTATTGTCCCTTTTGGCTCCTGCTCCTGACGTTGAAATCCAAGAGCTAATGAAGATAGATGGGTTCATCCATACTGTTGGGGTCTGGATACTAATGAATATTATTTAATGGTCAAGAGCTGTCACGGGGGGCATTGATTAATTAGCAGAGTTAGGAGGAGAGTGACTCCACCAGCACATCAGCTACTAATAATAGAACCCAAATCAGTCAGGAAGCGGATCCAAAAAGATGAGGCAACTGTAGGCTCACAGCTCACCTTCACTGCAAGAAACAAAGGCAAAAACTCTTCCAGTGGGATTTTTTGAGGATACAAACTTTCGCTGAGAATTGGGTCTTAAACACCTCTTGATTTCTCCTTGATTCAGTTTCCTACTTCTACGAGTAAAACCTCCCCCCATCCATTTCCAGCATAATCTACTCAGAGCACAAAAATCTTTCTCCCTCTCTGTGTGTCTACAAGGCCTGGGAAAAAAAACCCAAACGAACCCACAACAACAAACAGCTTGTTATAGGGGTTTTCTACACTACTGGAAAACAAACCAAAAAAATGAATTAACAAAAGTGACCCCGGGGAGAGGAGAGCTGCACTTAAGATAAGCTTCCCAGGTGTCTGGAGGAGTGCAGGGAATGATGATGAAATAGCTGTATCATACACACACACATTTGTTAGAGCACACACTGACACAACTGGGAGACACTGACAGCTCTGCAGAGTAAGACTGATTTCCAAGCACTGAAAAAATCATCTTGGTGGAAGGCTTAGGAGTAAAAATTATCCGGCCAATCTGACAGAGTGGTCATAATTTCCACGTCTAACATCTCAGTAATGCCTGAGCCACAAATTACTGTCCTGCCTCAGCAGAAAGCAGAGATCTTCGTGCTTTTTGTTGACATGGCAGACTTGATCAGTGGCTACAGTGATTTGGAAAATAAGACAGGTAGGTTTTGCACAGCAAAGAGGGAGATCCTGGCCCGTTCCCCAGCTTGCTGAAGTTTCCTTCAAGCTCTAAAATACCATTTCTGGAGCTCTGCAAGGAAAAACCACAACTCCATGCACTAAAGCAGAGCTAAATCTCCCAGCAGTGCAAATGAAAGCAAGTGAAATAAAAGCCAATCTAGTATCTCTTAAACTAAACTTGAAGTAGATCCCAGGTCACGACTCAAATTTCATCAGAAGATGGTACAACAAAGTAAAAAAACCTTCTCTCCATTGACTTTTGTTGATGAACCCCCCACAAAACATGGCCCAAAACCACAGCCCCTACAGTCAGATTTTTCTGGTGGGTAGCCCATAATGCAGGTATTTTAGAGCATTAATTAATGAAAGCCACACACCACTAAGCAAGATGGCAGCAGGATGCTGCAGCCCACACCCAAGCTCCAGAAGGAACAACTCAGATCCCAAATTTTACTGTGCAGGTGGGTTGGGTAAGACATACCTGACTGCTCCATGGATGGGCTCTCACTCCTTCCCCCAAGACAGTCTGTGCACTGGAGAACTGCAGCAGCACCAGGAGGGTACCCAAAACTGCAAGTGCTTTTAAATATCCCAGTTCTTCTTCCCTCCTTATGCTGAATTTTCTTGGGAAACCAAGACTGGAGTCCCAAGCAGCTCCTAGGACAAGGCACCCTCAAACCCTTCATAAACTATCCCTGCTGATTCAAGGCACCTGACACTTATATAAGCCCTTGGTGACCTGATGAAGGAGGCAGAGCAGCTGTGGTCACCAGGCTGGAGTTAACCAGCTTCACCTGGGCATCAGAAGACACAGCTGAGTTATCACAGAGCTCGTGGCCTCAGGTCTGCAGCACCACCCCAGCCCCTGTGTTTATTTCCATGCTGGGAATTCATTGCAAACTGTTGATCAATAGCTGGAGAAAAACTCTCTCTTTGCTGAGTGATGCTGCTGCTGCTGCCCAGAGGTTGCTTTGGATCGTGCTGACTTTAGTCCCTGCTGCCACAGAGGGCAAGGTCACATCTCCTGTGTGCCCTGGAGCTGTTCATTGTTTATAATCACAACAGAAATAGGAGTTTGGGGAGAAAAGTTCCTGTTTTGTTCTCCCTCTTTTTCTGCCCTTGGCCACTGGGTCTGTTCCTGTCCCAGCTCCACCTCAACCAACTGTTCCTTCTTCCTTGACTTTGCAGGCAGTTTGCCCAAAGCCACGAGCACACCATGGCTGAGGAGGGGAAAGCAGCTACAGCACACTCCTGCTCCTCACCTTCCCTTCTGTGTGACCAGGCTCTCCAAGGACAAGGACCTTCTGAGGAGCTCATGGCTGAAAGGAGTCCTACAAGACATTGAATCCTAGAATGGGTTGGGTTGGAAGGGACCCTAAAGATCTTGCACTTCCACCCCCCTGCCACAGTCAGGGACACCTTCCACTAGCCCAGGTTGCTCCAAGCCCCGTCCAACCTGGCCTTGGACACTTCCAGGGATGGGGCAGCCACAGCTTCTCTGGCCAACATGGGCCAGGGCCTCCCCACCCTCACAGGGAAGAATTTCTTCCCAAAATCCCAACTAAATCTTCTTCCTAATATCCAGTCTAGGTCTACCCTCTTCCAGAAAGCAGTCATGTTCTTTCCCAGAAAAATCCTGCTTCCCAGCTCTGTCACCAACATCTTCACTGCCTCGAGCAGCAGCACCAAGTGACAGTTGTCTTGTCCCAGGACATTGGCTCTGAGATAATAACACAGGACAGCTGGTGCCACCAAGCACTGTCCCCCGGGAGCTCACAGCACCAGTGACTTTCCACTTCAGGTCATAAACAACCTCCCTCCCTTTCTCCTTCCTCCCCTGCAGCTCCAGCACTCCAGCTTGATGTCACAAACCCAGCCTGCACTGAGAAGCAACGTCCCAGACCAGTGCAAGGTACTGCTCAGACAACCTTCAACAGCATCTCAGGGCCACGTCAGCACAGGTCCAAGAGACAAACCACTACGAGTGACAGGTCCCTCCTTTTGAGCCCAAAACCCTTTCCAAGCAAGACACAGCTGTCACAGGGGGGAGTGGAGGCAGCTGGAATTACACACAGCCCCTATTTGGCTGTAGCACATGCACAAACTTCCCAGCCCAGGCTGTGAATCCATGACAGTTTGTAGTATTGCATCTCTCCCCTCCTTGCTGTGCCTGCCACAGAAATTCTTCATCCCCAGACTTTCAGGCAAGCTGCCACATTATCTAATTTGCTGCCCCCGTGGGTGAGGCACAGTTGCATTTTGAGTTCTTAAGATTGCCATGCCCACGATTTTCCCATTAATTTTGATCCCACTTCCAACAAACAGTGCAGAGAGCATGGGCCAGTGGTGCTTCCCACTAATAGCAAAGTAGACAAATTCAGTTTGTAAGAAGCAGCACAGACTCATTAGCCTCGGGAGAAAGAGAGGTGGTAATGTAAATAAGAGAGTAACCTCATCACCAGAGGTTGTTCAATGCTAACAAGGAAAAAAAATAATCAGTGCTGCACCTGACAGGAATATCACGAGTTTCTGATGTCAGGTACTGCACTAAGAAAGATGCAAAACTTGCCAGTGTGTCTCCAGCAGCTCCCAGAACACCACACTCTATGCCTGGATATGACCCTGTGCTTCCACATTTCTCCCAGCTGGCCTATTGCCCTCCTGGGAAGGAGGAGATGGAGCCTGAGCACCCAAACACACTCCCACAGACAATCTGAAAGAAAAGCCCCTCCCAGCAGCCAGTGGGGGGACCATTTATTACCCAGAAAAAAAATAATTCACTCCCTCTGCTCTCTCAGCTCTGATTGGAGAAAAAAAAATAAAACTACTATGAAACACCTCCCAAAGGCAGATCTGGGAAATAAAATTCACCACTCTACCATAGAGCAAAGCTCCTGGAGTTGGCCACTGTCTGCTCTAGCACCTCATTGTGTTCCATAGCCCGTAAGCTGCCTCTCTGTCTCCAAGGAAATTGCTGCCTTAGCATATTGTTTCTCCACTCGTCTCTCACCACCTCCTGTATATTACGGTCACTCCTTCCTTCTAAAACATCCACACGTGTTAAATAGCTCACTGATCTCACAGCAATTCTTCTCAACTCATTTGGCTTTGAAGCCTGATTTTTATAGTTCTGATGAGAAGGGCTTGGATGCCCCAAAGCTTCCCAACATTCCATAATCCTGCCCAGTGAAAAGTCTGTACGGACAGACCTTGCCCTTGCATATGCACTCAGGGTGCCCCTCCTGTCCCCACCTCAGGGCAAACTCCTGCAACTGGAAAGCTGGGAATAAAACCCAAGGACTTCCAGGACTTGAAAACAGCCATGACAGCCAAATGATCTGGGGAACAAGACTTCTAGCTGGGGGTGTTGTGATAGAACATCAGGGAATGGTTTAAACTAACAGGAGAGATTTAGATGAGATATATGGAATAAATCCTTCCCTGTGAGGGTGGGGAGGCCCTGGCACAGGCTGCCCAGAGAAGCTGAGGCTGCCCCATCCCTGGAAGTGTCCAAGGCCAGGTTGGACAGGGCTTGGAGCAACCTGGGCTAGTGGAAGGTGTCCCTGCCCATGGCAGGGGGTGGAATGAGATGGGCTTTAAGGTCCCTTCCAACCCAAACCACTCTGTGATGTCCAGCAATCTGGCTGGAGAGATAACCCCAATGCCAGTATGTCCCAGCTGTGGGATGCTTTGGAGCACACCGAAGGATCTGGAGGTGCTTCTCCTGAGAAACCACTCGATCAGGAAGGTCCAGCTGAGAAGCTGCTTCCCTGAGCGCAGCCACGCTCCCGCAGAGCTGACCATGCCAGCATCCACTCCCGATTTTCGGGATCAGGGGGGGTTCTGAGAGCCCCCCACCCTGTGCCTTCCTGCAGGGACTGCGGTTTCGGGGACATCTCCCGTTTTCCAGCATTTTCCTGACCCCTAGTGACAAGACGTGGCTGTACAGCAGCCGCTTATCATGCAGCGCCCAACTCTCCCCGCATAAGCAAGGAACAAACCTCACTCCTTAACATGGGAGAAAGGTTCCCAGATCTGTCAAGATACTCACCCTCTGCAACCCCCGCAAATTTGCCAGAAAATCCAACCTGTTTAGCAAAGGCACTCAAATTTGGACTGAAAGTCAGGAAACAAAGCTGAATACAAGCAGCTTCCCTTCCCCAGGCTCCAGGGAAGCCGAGCTACAGGGCTAATCCATCAGCAGGTGAGACAAAACAAGGGGTGGGGAGAAGGCAGTTTTGATGGATTACCTTCCCCCGGGGCAAATGCATCCTGGTGCAGGGAACTGAGTGACCTTGGCAAGACCACAAAATCCATGATCTCACCCCTGCCTGCTATGGACCGTGGAGCAGCTCCTGGGAGCTGGAGGACAAGACATGGGACATCGGCTGCCAGGACCCAGGGCCCTCGTTTTTGTCACACCACTGGGTTTCAAGGGCAAACAGAGAGTCAAACCAGGATTATTCTGGCCCCACTTTGAGTCTTCACATCTAAATCATGCCAGGTTTCTCCCTGCATGGGGTGGGAATGGGCTGCCTCTTCCAGCACCAGTCTGATCCAGGGGAAGTGTTCCCTGGCAAAGTGCATGCAGGTACTTTGGACTCAGGTTTGAATCATCCTCCTCTGGGAAACCTCCCTTCAGTGCAACATTTCTTACTCCCTCATACTGTGATAATCCTTGCAAGCAGTCACCTCCCACTTTGGGATTCAAGTTTTCTACACATCAGAAGTGGTCATGCCACTTTCTTGCCATTTTTTTCATCCCAGCCTTCTCCAGGGGAGCTGCCCTCTGCCTGACACAAAGGACCTTCACCTAAAGCATCGTGTGAGCAGACCAAAGCCTCAGCTTCTGCCAGCCTCCAATTTATTTTGTTGGATGCTCTGAGGCCCTTGCTGACTTTGATAAAACGCTGCTACAAGAGGAAACCTCACACAGGAATAATTAACGATTCATCTCTGCTTATTGGGCCCTTTTGTCAA